AAGCCTGCACACCCAGTGGACAACTACAGACCACATTGGAGCTGCAATGCCCAGCCCCTGCACAGCTGATCCTCAATGGAAGGCACAGTTGGTGGTTACTAGTCACAGCCAGTCCTTGTACCTGACTGGCCTGGGTAAATTCTTGCCATTGATCTGCCAACGACAGCCAAGGGTCACTACAAGAGTAAGGCGTACTCAGCTCACATGAAGGATGCATCTTGACTACCTAGCTGGGGTGATAGATGAGTCTGTGCCACATCTTACAGGACACCTATTACTTTAGGCCACACCACCAAGACACAGAGTCAAGGCAGCTCTACCTAAAATATAGAAACAAACAAAAGGAGGCTGTCAAAATGAGGAGACAAACATGGCCCATTGAAAGCACAAATCAAACTCCAGAAACAGAGCTAACCAAAATGGAGATAAGCAATCTATTAGATGCAAAGTTTACAACACTGGTTATAAGGATGCTCAAGGAACTTAGTGAGGACCTCAGCAGCATAAAAAAAGATCAAGTCAGAAGTGAAGGATACACTAATTAATATAAAGGACAAGTTACAGAAAAATCACAGCAGAATGGATGAAGCTGAGAATCAAAGCAATGACATGGAACATAAGGAAACAAAAAAACACTCAATAAGAATAACGAGAAGAAAACAGAATTTAAAAAAAAGAGTATAGCAACAGCAGTCCGGCCAAGATGGAGGCATAGGCAGAAATGTTTTGCTTCCTCACACAACCAAAAGAAGGGTAACAACCAATTTAAAAACCAAACAACCAGAACTGCTGGAAAATTAAACTGCATGGTAGTCCAACAACCAAGAAATTAAAGAAACATTCATTGAGGTTTGTGCACCAAGACCAAAAAAAAAAAAAAAAGACCCAAATGAAAGAACAGATCAAAACTGCAGAAGAACTAAGTAATAAGGAGATAGGAAACCTATCTGAAGTAGAGTTTAAAACACTGGTAATCAGGATGCTCACATAATTGATTGAGTTCAGCTGTAAAATGAAGGGAGAAATGAAGGCTATGCAAAGTGAAATAAAGAAAAATATACAGGGAACCAACAGTGAAGAGAAGGAAACTGGGACTCAAATGAACAGTTTTGAAGAAAGGCAAGAAATAAACATCCTACTGAAACAGAATGAAGAAACAACAATTCAAAAAATGACGAAAGACTTAGGAACCTCTGGGACAACTTTCAATGTTCCAACATCTGAATCATAGAGGTGCAAGAAAGAGAAGAGGAAAAGCAAGAAATCAAAAACCTACTTGAAAAAATAATGAAGGAAAACTTCCCCCAATCTGGCAAAGGGAATAGTCTTCCAAGAAGTCCAGGAAGCACAAAGTCTCAAAAAAATTGGACCCAAAGAGGAACACACCAAGGCACATCATAATTACGTTATCCAAAATTAAAGATAAGGAGTGAATCGTAAAAGCAGCAAGAAAAAAAGAGACAGTTACCTAGAAAGGAATTTAAATAAGGCTATCAGCTGATTTCTCAAAAGAAACCTTGCAGGCAAGAAGGGGCTGGAAAGAGTATTCGAAATCATGAAAGGCAAGGACCTACATCTAAGATTAGTCTATCCAGCGAAGCTATCATTTAGAATGGAAGGGCAGATAAAGTGCTTCCCATATAAGGTCAAGTTAAAGGAGTTCATCATCACCAGGCCCTCATTATATGAAATGTTAAAGGGACTTATCTAAGAAAAAGATAAAAAACTATAAACAGTAAAATGACAACAAACTCACAAATATCAACAAAAAACAAGAACAAAAATCAAGCAGATAACTAGAACAGAAACAGAATCACAGAAATGGAGAGCACATGGAGGGTTACCAGTTGGGAGGAGGAGGGAGAGAACGGGGGTGGGGAGCATAAATGATAGGTACAAAATGGACATGGGATGGTTAAGGATAGTATAGGAAATGGAGAAACCAAAGAACTTATATGTATAATCCATGGACATTAACTAAGTGGGGAGGGGAATGCTGGGGAGTGGGGAAGTGGTGCAGGGAAGAGTGGGATAGAGGGTAGAAAAAATTGTGACAAGTGTAATATCATAATTGATAAAATATACTTTAAAAAAATGAGGATAGTGTAAGCAGCTTCTGGGACAACTTTAAGCATTCCAACATTTGCATCATAGAGGTGCCAGAAGGAGAAGAGAAACAGCAAGAAATTTGAAGTCTATCTGAAAATATACTGAAAGAAATCTTCCCTAATTTGGCGAAGAAAATAGACAGGAAACACAGAGTCCCAAACAAGATGGATGCAGAGGCCCAGTCCAAAATACATCATAGTTAAAATGCCAAAGGTTAAAGATAAAGAGCCTCTTAAAAGCAGCAAGAGAAAAGCAGTCAGTTACCTACGGGGGAATTCTATAAGACTGTCTGTCCACTGATTCCTCAAAAGAAACATTGCAGGCTAGAAGGAATTGGCAAGAAATGTACAAAGTGATGAAAAGCAGGGACTTACAGCCAAGATAGCTCCACCCAGCAAAGCTATCATTTAGAATCAAAATGCAGATACAGAGTTTCCCAGATAAGATAAAACTAAAGGGGTTAATCATCAACAAATCATTATTATATGAAATATTAAAGGAACTTATTTAAGAAACAGAGAATAAAAACTATGCACAATAAAGTGGCAATAAATACATACCTATCAACAGATGAGTCTAAAAAAATAAACTAAGCAAGTAAGAACAGAGACAGAATCATGGATATGAAGAGCATTTTGATGGCTGCCAGATGGGACAAGGGGTGCAGGGGAATGGGTAAAGGGGTGAGGGGATTCAGAAGTACAAATAGGTAATCACTGAATAGCCATGGGAATGTCAAAGTACAGTATAGGAAATAGAGTAGCCAAAGAACCTATAGCATGACCCATAGACATGAACAATTTCCTCAGAGAGTGGGGTTGCTGGGTAAAGGGGGCAAAGAGAGAAAATTGGTACAACTGTAATGGTATAATCAATAAAATATAATTATAAGATAAATATTTGAAATACCAGCATAATAAAATATTAATTGATCTGTGTTTACCTACTTTGGCTCTTGTACTTTATTTCTTGTACTTTATTTCAGGTATGTCTCTTGAAAATATGAGTGTGTCTGCCAATGGAAAAACACTGTTTCTAAAGTTATGAAATGGATTAATAACAATATCAATGTAAAGAATGCTAATTACTTATTCTTAGTGGTCACTAAAATCAAGGTTTCCAACAATTAACAATTCTAATTAAGGTGGAAAGAAATTATATGGTTTGATAATAGAAAGCATAAAATAAGGAAACACTTGTTGAAGAAAAAGAAAATAATTTGTTCTAAAGTTGGTTATTTCTGAGTGAATTGAAAAGAAGCAAACTATAAGAGACTGCAAAAAGGTTATGGCATTGCAGAGAGTTTATGCCAACTGAAGGAGGTTTTTAAAGAGAGATCTTGAAAGGAAATTATATAGTTAGCATATTTTGCCGTGCATGATGCACACTCACATTTTAGTGCTGATTCTCATGTATAATTTGCATCATACGTGGGAATTAGTACTACCCAAGTATAATGTGCATCCTTATTTTTCCCTCAGAAATTTGGGCAAAAAGGTGTGTATAATACATGGTAAAATATGGTAAGCTGAATAGTGAACTTAATTAGGTACATAAATCTAAATATCAAAAGTAAACTAATACAGAATTTGGCTCTTTTTGCATCTGTTAAAGGGGAAAATTTCCTGTATCTGCCTAGAAGGCAAAAATTCTGTGTGTTTTTTTTTTAAATAGTGATGTGTTATGTTGTGTTAATCAGGTACCTGATTAACTTAAAAACCCATTTCTTTATTGTAAGAACTAGAGCTTTGCTGGTCTTATTTATGTTTGTTATTTTTATTATCACTTTGGGTAAATAAATAATTTAATATTGTTTCATAATGATGTATATGTTTTACAATATTCCCTGTGTTTAAATTTTAAGTGACTTGTCCATGACCTAAAATTGGGTTTGGGTCATTCCAAGGAGTCCCTGGAATGCTATGGGGATTTCTTCTTTCTCCTTATGAAGAATAAATTTTGAACAAATTAGGCCTATTTGCTATGCTTAAAGCACAAGGGAAGCTTTGTCAAATAAAGAATTAATAACTATGTTCTATTTGTATACACATATTTTATTATTAAAATGGACATTCTTGAGAGTATATAAAAATTTCCAAGAATCGACAATGTTCTGACGTACTTTCATTTGTAATTCTAATTGTTATCTTAAAACATTGTTACTTCCCTGGCTGGTGTGGCTCAGGATTGAGAACTGGCCTGCAAACCAAAAAGTTATGGGTTCGATTCCCAGTCAGGGCACATGCCTGGGTTGGGAGCTAGGTCCCCAGTGGGGGTGTACAAGAGGCAACCACACATTGACATTTCTCTCCCTCTCTTTCTCCCTCCCTTCTCCTCTAAAAATCAATCAATCAATCAATCAATCAATCTTTTTAAAAACTGTTGTTACAGCCCTGGCTGGTATGGCTCATTGGATTGAGTACCAGCTTGTGAACCAAAAGGTCACCAGTTTGATTCCCAGTCAGGGTACAGGCCTGGGTCATGGGCCACGTCCACAGTTGTGGGCCTGCAAGAGGTAGCCAACAGATGTTTCTCTCACACTTCAATGTTTCTCTCCTTCTCTTTCTCTCTCCCTTCCACTCTCTCTAAAAATAAATAAACAAAATCTTAAAAAAATGTTGTTACATGAAATCAAATTCCTTTGTCAACTGCATTATAATCAGATATATAATTAGGTCATTTTAAGGGACTTTTGGGCTTAATACAAAATATTTATTGGTAATTCTAAGTGTTTACATTAATTGGCTTTTAATTAATCATTTTAATCACATTTTTATTGTTATTCTATTACAGTTGTCCCAAGTTTTCCCCCGTTGCTCTCCCCTGCCCCTCTCATCCCCTGCTCCCACAACCAATTCCCACAGTGTTGTCCATGTCTGTGGGTCATTCATACATGTTCTTTCTCTAGCTCCATCCTTTTCTTTCCACCATTATCACCCCTCCAGTCACTTTCAGTCTGTTCCATGTTTCCATGCCTCTGGTTCTATTATATTCATTAGTTTATTTTGTTCATTAGATTCCTCTTATAGGTGAGATCATATGGTATTTTTCTCTCTCTGACTGGCTTATTTCACTTGGCATAATACTGTCCAGTTCCATCCATGTTGTCGCAAAAGATAGGGAGTCCCTTCCTTCTTTCTGCTGCATAGTATTCCACTGTGTAAATGTACCACAGATTTTTGGTCCACTCATTTACTGAAGGGCACTTAGGCTGTTTCCAGCAGTTGTCTAATGTATATAGCACTGCTATTAACTTTTTTTATTGTCATTTAGTAAGTCATTGTTTTACCCTGATGCATTTACAAATATGTTACATCTTCAGAAAGATCCATGGAAGGGACTGTAACTTATTCTAAATTACATATTTCTGAGAGTAAATTTTCAGATCATAGTTTTGAACTGGATGAAGATTACTAGAATTCTATGGAATAACTGGATTTATAGAAATACTGGCAAATAGCCCTGGCTGGTGTAGCTCAGTGGATTGAGCACGGGCCTGCAAACTAAGGGATCGCGGTTCGATTCCCAGTCAGGGCACATGCCTGGGTTGCAGGCCAGTTCCCAGCAAGGGACACACAAGAGGCAACCATACACTGGTATTTCTCTCCCTCTCTCCTTCCCTTCTTCTCTAAAGATAAATTAATAAAAAATCTTTTTTAAAAAAAAGAAATACTGGCAAATAATCAACATGAACAAAATTGATTATGGGACAGAACAAAATTATTGCAATTTTGTAACCTTTTGGTGAAATGGAATGGTGACTCAGGTGATGAATGAGGGGACCCAGGGACTCCTCTAACACCTCCTGACTTGTCATTATTTCCCCCCAGGAGCCTCAGATACAATTGACAGTGGGGAACAAATTGATCAATTTTTAATAGATATGTGAGCAATGTACACTGTATTAAAGCCCAAATTCACTACATAATAATAAAAACCCCATGAGAGTCTCAGTCGGAGTAATGAGAGAAATGCAACAACAAGCCTCCCTCCAGCTTTTGGAATGTCGACTCAGAGATCTTAAGTTATCACACAGCCTCCTTTGTTTGCCTGAATGTTGCATTCATCTGCTGGGACTGGACTTGCTTTCTAAATTGCCTGCTCAAATAACCTTTTCTCCTGAAAGGCAGCAGCTTTACCTGCAGGTCCCACTGGAGAATATGCACTCCAACTCCAGATGCTTTTAATCTGTTCAAGGGGACTCAGAAGAGAACTGTTCCCTCCTGAGATGTACAAGCAAGTAAGAAAAACTGTTTGGGCAGCTGGGACTCCAGGTGAGCAATCAATACTCACCTGAATGGCCTGAGATCTCCCCAGAGAAATCACACATAATGACAAGTATTTCTTTACATGTACTCTATTACCCTGGTAGGGGAGAACTGAACAACAGAATGTACTTCAGAATCTCTCCAAGACTTTAACCACCATAGCCAAATAAAACTGTCAGCTCACTTGCTAATATTCAGAAATCTCTGGACTCTCCACTAAGGCTGTCTTAGATAATCGAATTGCCTTAGGCTACATACTGGCAGAACAAGGAAGAGTTTGTATGACCATGCACTTCTCTTGTTGTACTCACATTGCCACCTCAACTCAGGTGGAAACAAGCATCACCAAAATCAGTCAACAGGCTTCCTGGCTTCAACGTTGGACCAGCCCTGACCGGTGTGGCTCAGTTGGTTGAACATGGTCCAGAAAAGTGAGAGGTCGCCAGCTCAATTTCCAGTCAGGGCACATGCCGGGTTTGCAGGCCTGGTCTGCGATTGGAGCAAGTGTGAGAGGCAACCAATTGATGTTTCTCTTGCACATTAATGTCTTCCCCTCTCTTTCTCCTTCACTTCTCCTCTCTACAAAAAAATAAATGAAATATTTAAAAAGAACAAACAAACATTGGACCATTACACCTCTCTTTTTGAGGGGACTGGAGATTTGTCTGAGAGTCTATTTTCATGGATAACAAAGACACAAGCCCATATTAGGAGGAATTTAATTTAGGTTTAACCACTCTTTTCTTTTGTTTTTTTAATTTATTCTTATTTTTACTTTATTGATTATGCCATTAAAGTTGTTCTATTTCCCCCCTTCATTCCCCTCCACCCTGCACCCCCCCACCCCTACCATATCCCCCCCCCTTTAGTTTATGACCACGTGTCTCAAGTTCTTTGGATTCTATATATCCCATACTATTCTTGCCCTCCCCCCTAACTATTTTCTACCTACCATCTATGCTACTTATTTTCTGTACCTTCTCCCCCCTTCTCCTTCTCCCACTCCCCTGTTGCTAACCCTCCATGTGATCTTCATTTCTATGGTTCTGCTCCTGATCTAGCTGTCCTTTTAGCTTGCTTTTGTTTTAGGTGTGGTTGTTAATAACTGTGAGTTTGCTATCCTTTCACTGTTCGTGTTTTTATCTTCTTTTTCTTAGATAAGTTCTTTTAACATTTCATATAATAAGGGCTTGGTGATGATGAACTCCTTGAATTTGATCTTATCTGAGAAGCACTTTATCTGCCCTTCCATTCTAAATGAAAGCTTTGCTGGATAGAGCAATCTTGGTTGTAGGTCTTTGGATTTCATGACTTGGAGTACCTCTTTCCAGCCCCTTCTTGCCTGTAAGGTCTCTTTTGAGAAATCTGCTGACAGTCTGATGGGAACTCCTTTGTAGGTGACTGTCCCCTTATCTCTTGCTGCTTCTAGGATTCTCTCTCTCATTTTAATCTTGGCTAATGTAATTATGATGTGCTTTGGAGTGTTTCTTCTTGGATCCAACTTCTTGGGGACTGTCTGAGCTTCCTGGATTTCCTGGAAGTCTATTGCCTTTGCCAGATTGGGGAAATTCTCCTTTATTATTTGTTCAAATAAGTCTTCCACTGGTGGCTGTTCCTTTCCCCATTCTGGTACTCCTATAATTCGGATGTTGGAGCATTTACAGATGTCCTGGAGGTTCCCCAGTCTCTCCTCTTTTTTTTTTGAATTCTTCTTTCTTCATATTTTCCTGTTTGGTCATTTTTTTTCTTCCTTCTGGTCCACTCCTTTGATTTGAGTCCCAGTTCCTTTCCATCACTATTGGTTTCCTGTGCATTTCCATTCATTTCAATTAGTTTAGCCTTCATATGTTCCTCTAATTTGTGACTAAAATCAACCAGTGCTGTGAGCATCCTGATCACCAGTGTTTTGAACTGTGCATCTGAAAGTTTGGCTATTTCTTCGTCACTTAGATTTATGGGCTCTGGGGTTTTGAGATCCTCTTGAGCCATTTTTGGTTTGTTTATGCCCATTAAGTATGAGAAGTGGAGCCTTAGGTGTTCACCAGGGCGGGGCCTCCCAGGTCGCTGGTTTGTGTTGCTGTATGTAGGGGTGGGGTCAGAGCAGGGAAATGGCAGCCCCCTGTGCTGTTTCCCGCCGCTGGGCGAGAAGCAGAGATTTTTTTAAAAGCATCTGTTGAGCAGTTACAATTTTTCCAGCATGGAAGAAACAACGTATAAAGAGCTTCAAAACAATAAAGAGCTTCAAGCATTATAAAGAAAAGAGTGCACTTCCGCGAAGATGGAGGCATAGGTGGAGACTCCGTGCTTTCTCACACAACCAAGTTGAGAGACAACAAAATATCAGCAACAGAAAACACAGCCAGAATACAGAAAATTGAACTTTTCGGAAGTCCAATAACAACGAATTCTTCAGCCTGACCGGTAAGAGGGGCGAAACCAGCAGCTGGCAGAGTGGGGTTGCACAGGAAAACTCAGTCAGATGGACTCAGGTGTGCGGATACCAGGCGTGGGGTTGCAAAGGGCCCACCCAGTGAGCGACTGGCAGATCCGGCGAGGGTGAAGGGCAGCGGGTTGACTGTGCTGGTGCATTCCTGCGCAGATAGACCAGCAAGGGAGTAGGCAGTGAGAAGGGACCGAGAGGGTCCCAGCAACAGGACGGCTGCCATTTCCCGGCTCTGACCCCGCCCCCACATACAGTGTCACAACCCAGTGACCCCGCCCTGGAGGCCCCACCCCGATTCTAAGGTTCTGCTCCTCATACTTAATGGGCGCAAACAGACCAAAAATGGCTCAAGAAGATCTCAAAACCCCAGAGCCCATAAATCTAAGTGACGAAGAAATAGCCAAACTTTCAGATGCACAGTTCAAAACACTGGTGATCAGGATGCTCACAGCACTGGTTGATTTTAGTCACAAATTAGAGGAACATATGAAGGCTAAACTAATTGAAATGAATGGAAATGCACAGGAAACCAATAGTAATGGAAAGGAACTGGGACTCAAATCAATGGAGTGGACCAGAAGGAGGGTAAAAATGACCAAACAGGAAAATATGAAGAAAGAAGAATTCAAAAAAAAAAGAGGAGAGACTGGGGAACCTCCAGGACATCTGTAAATGCTCCAACATCCGAATTATAGGAGTACCAGAATGGGGAAAGGAACAGCCACCAGTGGAAGACTTATTTGAACAAATAATAAAGGAGAATTTCCCCAATCTGGCAAAGGCAATAGACTTCCAGGAAATCCAGGAAGCTCAGACAGTCCCCAAGAAGTTGGATCCAAGAAGAAACACTCCAAAGCACATCATAATTACATTAGCCAAGATTAAAATGAGAGAGAGAATCCTAGAAGCAGCAAGAGATAAGGGGACAGTCACCTACAAAGGAGTTCCCATCAGACTGTCAGCAGATTTCTCAAAAGAGACCTTACAGGCAAGAAGGGGCTGGAAAGAGGTATTCCAAGTCATGAAATCCAAAGACCTACAACCAAGATTGCTCTATCCAGCAAAGCTTTCATTTAGAATGGAAGGGCAGATAAAGTGCTTCTCAGATAAGATCAAATTCAAGGAGTTCATCATCACCAAGCCCTTATTATATGAAATGTTAAAAGAACTTATCTAAGAAAAAGAAGATAAAAACACGAACAGTGAAAGGATAGCAAACTCACAGTTATTAACAACCACACCTAAAACAAAAGCAAGCTAAAAGGACAGCTAGATCAGGAGCAGAACCATAGAAATGAAGATCACATGGAGGGTTAGCAACAGGGGAGTGGGAGAAGGAGAAGGGGGGAGAAGGTACAGAAAATAAGTAGCATAGATGGTAGGTAGAAAATAGTTAGGGGGGAGGGCAAGAATAGTAGGGGAAATACAGAATCTAAAGAACTTGAGACACGTGGTCATAAACTAAAGGGGGGGGGAATGGTGGGGGAGGGGGTGCAGGGTGGAGGGGAATGAAGAGGGGGAATAGAACAACTGTAACGGCATAATCAAAAAATTTATTTTAAATAAAAGAACCACAGCAGCATTATTTTCAATAGCCAAGTGCTGGAAAGAGCCTAAGCGCCCGTCAGTAAATTAGTGGACCAAAAAACTGTGGTGCGTTTACACAATGGAATACTATGCAGCAAAAAGAAAGAAGAAGCTCCTACCCTTCATGACAGCATGGATGAAACTGGAGAGCATTATGCTAAGTGAAATAAACCAAGAGATGAAAGACAAATACCATATGATTTCACCTATAATAGGAATCTAATGAACAAAACAAACGAATGAGCAAAATAGAATGAGAGGCATGGAAACAAGGGAGACTGAGTGACCAGGGGTGGGGGTTAGGAGGATAATGGTGGAGAGAAGGGCAATGGCCTAGTCAAGGAACATGTGTGAATGACCCATGGACATGGACAACAGGGTGTGTAACAAAGTGCAGCCAAGAGGGGGCCCCCAAATAGGGATTTGTAATGGGGTCCATAAAAGCTTGGAGATGATTGGTTCCACGCCACAGGGCCACACCTGCCTAGGACGCTGGCAGCTGTGGCCAGTTGTGGGAGGAGCCAGAAATGGGGCTGCAGAGGAAGATTGGTGCTGAAATTTAAACCCAGGCATGGCAGTCATTTGGTGTCCTTTGGGGGACTACTAGGCTTTGGCATCTTAGAAAAGGCACTACATGACTTTGGTGTCTTTTGGGGGACCATGTGGCTTGGGCAAGAGTTAGGACATATGGTTTTGGAAGTGCTCCCTTTTGCCACATCGATAATGCCGGGAGCCTGAATCACAGACTTCTACTTCTTTTCTGAGATACGGTACCCCAGACTGGGCAGAGGGAGAAGGAAGGACTGTGTATGTTTGTGGGTATTCTAAAACACTTTAGTCTGTATAACTATTAAATAAATAATAATTCCTCTTCTTCTCACCAATCTCTGGAACTGAGCGATGTCTTTCCTCTGGAGGTGGGCAAAGCGAACCTAGTATGGGGGGACCCCCAGAGTAAAAGGGAGGGTCTTTTATATCATTCAACCCCTCCCGCTGTTCTGTAACAGGTGGAGATGGACTGTGGGAGCAGTGGGTGGGCGGGGCAGGGGGGAGCAGCAGGGCCAGGGGAAATTGGTACAACTGTAATAGAACAACAGTAAAATAATAAAATTAAAATAAAATAAAATCCTTTGGTATTATATGAAAAAAAGAACCAGGAGAAGCACTTCCTGCATATTCTATTCCCAGATATCAGCAGTAAAACTGCAGATGGGGCAACGAAACTGTATGATGATGCACACAGGAGATAACATTGAAACCACTCAAGAAGAGAACTAAAAAACTGCACATTGCTAGACATTCCCTTCTTCCCATGGTTCCCCTATATAAACTACAGGATGACTGAGATGCTAAGATGAAATTTGCGATAATAGTCTCCCATCTTCCAGGTTGCCAGCACCTGAATAAAACCACTTTCCTTTTACATCAGCACCTGCTTCTCGAGTATTGGTTCTCAAAGCAGTGGACAGCCAGACCTGTGTTCAGTTACAATTCTTTATTGCCTGGTCTGCAAAACTAAAAATGGTTCCTTTAAATATGTATTCTTCAC